CTTTTTAGAACTTGGTGAAAGCTGCATTTCTTCTTTTTATTTCTTCATTTTTTCTCCTTTCAATTTTATCTCTGTGTGTGGCTTTTTAAAAATGTTTTATCAACACCAGCATGTGATGATGCTGCATGTAGTGCACATTTTATTTGGGAATGACTGTGGCCTAGTGCCAGCACTAAAATACATATGAAGTTTTAAGAAATAAATCAAATGATATGATGATATACTTGGCTCTGCAATCCTGTCATGCTTTTTTGGCTTTTCCAAATCCATTGACTTATTTATAAAATTTCCCATATGACTTGGCACTTGAATCTGCAGCATTAATGTAGTCAGAAGTCTACATTCTGACCAAATCCACCTAGCAGCTGTTAAGAAAATAATACAGGATAATATTTTTGCCCACCTAACTTGCAAATTAAAGATGACATCTTGAAAAGCCATTTCTCATTTGCTGCAATAGTAACAATAACGTGTTCTTAAAAGTAAATTTGTTATGACTTTCCAAAAACATCTTCAAGTGTTTTTAATTATATGCATTTTGTATTGTAAAATGACCTTTAGGCACCTAGTGAATACATTTTTTTTTTTTTGTGTGTCAAAGTAGATGGTAGATAAGTGTTGCCCCACATGGAAATAATGAAAGCCAGATTCCTTCTTAGGAATTAGGATGGGGTTTGAGTTTTGATGTCAGGAGAAATAAGTCAAAGCACCATCATCAGAAGTAAGCATGATTGTTCCTGGAATTCTTCTGAAAAAAAAGATTGAAAGCCAGAAATTTTAATTGTTTATATATATGAATTTTGCTGTGGCCTGTGCAGGTTTTTTAGAGCTAAATGCAACAGAGCAAAATTGTGTTATGGTTTGGAAATTAGGCAAAAAATAACCATTTTGATTCTCGTAGGATATTTTGATCTTCATAGCATTAGACAAAAAGATATGCTCTAAAACAGCAGCATGTAGTGGTCACTGAACATACCTTTCTGTGTGATGCAATCCTTGATCTATAAAGGTTAGAAGTACAGCACATCTTGCAGAGCTTTAAATACTAAGCTGTGTTTGGCAGCTTCAGAAAGGAAATCATTCCTTTACTAGCCATCTGTCTCTGAGGCAAAACCAAAAGTATTCCCAACTTACATAGGCAGCTTATAGTAAAACTGCTGCTGAGTTGGGCTCTCAGTTTACCTTTGTGAAGTAAGAATCGATCTGGGTCCAAACTCCTCAAAGTGGTTGTGCTCCTGCCCTTTGGCATGGGGACAGCAAGTGACAGTAGAATTCTTGAATTACCAAGTGAAAGTTATCCACACACCAGAAAGGGCAACAGTGATGGATGGAGGACAGAGCAGGGATGCACAGGGAAAAATACAGGGCTGATGCTCAGGGGAGCTAACCAGTCTCTTCTGACTGATCTTAGCAGCATCTGGGGCACTGGATGCATCTTGACCTGTACTTTATGTAATTTTTATATAAAGTTTTGTTTATAGGTTATATATATATTATATATATGATGTATGTAGCCTGTATATAGTTTATATGTAACACATGTTGTGCAGTGCTTTGCTTTCCTTTGTCTATGGGAAATTGCCAGAGTTAAATGACAGTTTTCATTGCCTGTCTAACATTCATGACACTGTAAAATGAAATGTTATAGATAATAAATAGATAAATAATAAGATAATAAATAAAAAATATAGATAATAAATATATAAAAACCAGATCTGTATCCTTAAGGAACCCAAACAACATTAGCAGTGTCCTGGGGTGCCACCATATAATAACTGTTTTCCTCTCCTGAATTGTTTGATATGCTGAAAGAATGCATGCTGGACAGAAATCTAAGCTACTCCAGTTACCTCTTTGCTTGTTACAGCTGCAGCATAAACGAGAATAACCTGGCTAGAGATTGTTATGCATAAAGCAGAAATGCAAATGAAAAAAAAAATCAGTTTTTGAAAGTTTTAGAGTACCTTCAAGTGTGATTTACCTAAATAATATTTAGTTATTTAATTAATGAAATGAGATGAGGGTTTTTTTTTAAAGAAAAAAATAAGTGGAATTTGGTAAAAATACTTCTTCAAATAAAAGCAAGTTTTAATTGGTGCACGTCTACTAAAAAAATAAAGATGCTCCTCAGCATATTTGTTTTGTAAGGGTTGATGTACAACAAGAAGTATCTTGTGACTGTAGTCCAACCTCAGCCCTTAGGTATCTAATTTCATCTTCTGTTTTCTCTGAGAAAAATTATGTAATACAGTTCATTTTGAACATTGTTTGGGGTGACTTACACTCCCACATTTTCCTTCATGCTGTACAGTACTTTATTGCCTTACTGAAAAGGCTATGAAGATACTTTCTTCCAGCATGGAATCAACTACAAGTTACACAGAAAATGAGCAACAATTTATTTGTCATCCTTTTGTAATTGTTTTGCAATGAACTTTTCATAATTGAGTATAATTGAGTACTAATCCTAGTGTTGTTTGAGCATTTCTGGTAAAGTGGAATGTGTTGCATCTGCTTCTCTTTCAACTACTGTGGGTTACTCTTTCTCCACTTAAGAAATCTCTGGAGTGAGGAAGTCTTGAGTGGACAGGCTGTTTTATCCTCTGCCTATTTAACAGCAAGATTTTGTGGCCTTAAGACAGTTCCCAGAGGGTGAAGCATGAGAAGTGCACTTGGCTGTGCTGATGCTGAGGAGGCAGGGGCCAGTACCACATCAGGGGAAGGGGAAGGCCATGGACGCTGCTCGTGACAGGAATGAACCGTGTCATTTCTTGGAAGATGTAAAGAGAGGAAAGGGAAGCAAATTGAATAGGCTTTGGCAATGGTCCCAAACAGGTTGAGGAGGAGAATTAGCCACATTAATGATTAATGATTGCAAAGCTCATTCAGCTTGAAAAGTACTTTCTATAAGTGCTAAGTGCTGGCATTAAAAATGTATGCATTTTCATTTTAATCCACACTTGGCGTCTGCAAATGGAGAGGAAAGGGAAGAGCCAGCAGTGTCATTATAGCAGCACTAATACCTCACTACAGCTGAAATTACAGTTTGTCAAGGCACACAACCTAGGATCTGGGTCTTGCAGAGCTCAGCCTGTGGTGATTGCTGCCCGTGGTACTCTTCAACTGCTCCACCAGCTGCCTCAAAGAGCTTAAAGTGAAGGCTTGGAAACCTGCAAATCAAACATTTACTAAGTGAACAGTTGACTTTATTAAGTCCCCATTGATGAAGAGAAAGACATAAACTATAGTCTGTCACATATGGATTTCTCTGCACAATTAAAGATTTTCAAGGTATCAGTTTTCTGTCTCCTTTCTTTTTCAAAAAATAGACCTGTTTTCTCTGCTGAGTGGGAGACACAGGGAAAGGGGACTCTAACAGAAATTATTTGTTGTGCTATGAAGGTGGTGGCATGTTGCTACCAGAAAACTTGTGGACCAGAGCAGCAAAGACTGCTTGGGCAGGAAGTGAAGTTTTTGCTGCAAACAAGCTGTGAGCTCTAAAACCTAGAACACTGTGTTAATACAGGTCTCTGAAAGGAGCTGAATAGACAAATCAAGAGGCAGAAGAGAAAAAGAGGCTCAAAGTCTGAACCTTAACAGCTACAAGCTGCATGCTTGAGAGTTAGGCTAAAAGGTGCTCATTGATGGCGTGGCTGGAAGGAAGAAACAGTTTTGTGCTCTGATGTGCAGTTAGGCATGCCAGCCTTGGCAAGGTCAGTGCAGCCCTTTGCCTTCCTAGGCTGGTGGTGAGTCAGCAGCTGCGTACGTTTTGCAAGTGTTTTGTGGAAATGGTAACTGAAGTCCCTGTTTTGCCAGTTTGCTGCAGTGTGTGTAATTGTTCTTGCCTCCCACACAGCTGGATGCTAAGCTTGTTTCATATCTTTATTTCACTCTGATGTTGGTCTAACCTCTCTCTTTATTCAAACATCTGGTAACAGGGAGTTAGGGGACTCCTGTAGTTGATTTGCCACTGCCAGCTGAGCTCACAAGCAGTGTGAGAACACTGTGGGGTGACCCATCCGCTGGGAAGCAGACCCTGGTTTGCTCTTTCTGTGTAATGTTGGGCTGGTGGGAGTTGTAGAGAGAAGAGTCTCTGTCTCTATCATTCCCTTGCCTTCCCAGCAGACACCTATGCATTAGCTCTCACCTTCATGTGGGAAGGGTGGAGGTGGAAGGGGGTAGTTGCTCTTCAAGAATAACAAGGTTTGGTCTTAATTTGCCCTTGGTCAAAAATACCCTTTTTTCTTATCTGTTTTGTTGACTGCCGTGCTGTGCGCTGCTGTGTTGGAGGCTACATTTTCAGTTATGACTTAGGTAAAACACTGTGGTTGCTAGGGGAGAAAAGTATTAGTATTACCAATATTTATTATTCAGTCCCCATGGAAACTGTAGTTCTTTGGGGAGTCCTAATTCTCACATTTTTCCTTCCTATGGAAAAGATATCTCTGTAACCGTGAAGTTCAGATATTATTTTCTAGAACAATGAAGGCAAGATACACAACTCCCTTTGTGCTCTGATGTGCTTGACAGATGTTTGTCTTTGAGTAGTTATTGGGACTTACTGCTTACTAAGCTATGTTGTGGCTTCCAGTCACAAGGATTTTTGGAATGTCTAATTTTATCATGATGATGTTTTATTATTTTTTCCCTTCCTCTTTGCTGTTTGTTCAGTTTGTCCTTTTCCCCATTATTGTTATTTTTTTAATTTGCAGCGTATTTGAATTTGGTGAAGAGTTATTTGGTTAACAGTTGGACTCAGTGATCTTAGGGGTCTTTTCCAGCTTAAGTGATTCTGTGATTTGATGGGAAATGAACTTTACTGTTTCCTGCTTAAAGGTATAACTATGGCAAAAGCTGTAAAGCCCATGGCTGTAAAAGGGACACCATAGTACCTGTTTTTGCAAAGTTTGAGTTCTTCCAATTTTCAGAGGAAAGCTGTTAAAATACTGAGTGATTTATTTTTGGTGGGATAGTGAACTCAGTCTTTGGCTGTCTTACAGTGCCTAAAACAGTATGTGGAACTGTTAATCAAAGAAGGTCTAGAAACAGCAATCAGCTGCCCTGATGCTGCCTGCCCAAAGCGAGGTCATCTGCAAGAAAATGAGGTAGGTACGCTGTTACTGCAAATGGAGTGTTTTCTTGTCTTTGCAGGATGTTTAAATGTGTCTTGCTCTTTATGTTATAGCTTCCATTGTTGACAAGACATTGTTTTAATAATTCATCAAAGGTCAAATATTTTATCTCTGTTTGTTTTAAAATTAGTTACATTATTGCTGCTCCTAATTGGAAATTTGTCTTTGTTTTACTTCCTTCAACAGATTGAGTGCATGGTTGCATCAGAAATCATGCAAAGATATAAGAAGCTACAGTTTGAAAGAGGTAACACATATAACACTACTCATTGAAGGCTGTGAGAATGGTATCATTCCAGAGCAATCCTATAAATCAGAATCTGTCTCTGCATATGTTCATGCAGTAGCATTGTGCATTAATTGTTTGGTCATCACAAAAAAAAGAAAAAATCAAAACCAAAACCCAAAAAGTAGTTGTTTCTGTTCTTGCCTGTGTGATTCCCAGAACTACAGCACTCTGGCAATAAACGAAGGAAAGAAAATTGCTATGTATTATATTGCTATATAACTAAGGGAGGGAGTGACTTCTATTTTGAGCTTTGCTGTTTAAGTTGACTACTACTACTGTAGGACCTGGAGAGGTTGACTGACCTCATTCACAGAGTCAGCATTATCTCCTGGGATGGCATCTGGGGGAGAATTACCAAGCAGTTCTATGTGTAGTGTGTAATGATATAAGCATTAATAAGGTTCATGTTAAGCTGACTGCATGCCTATCAGGATGTGGAATGGTGTGGTCATAGAGAACTTAAGGTTTTGCTGAGGGCAGGATGCAGCCTAGAAACCACTGAAGTAATTTAATTTTTTATTTATTTAGTTAGTTAGTTATATTCTCTTCAGTGGGCTTTGAAACATGAAATGACTTACCTGTAAGAAGCCTTCATGAAAGAGATGAAACTCTATGAGAGTCTTATGCCATTGTTAATCATGTGGTCACATTAGGGCAGAGGCCAACTTGAAATAAGAATCCTAATGGGCAAGGCACTGTAAAAACACTTTCTAATGGGTTTTACCTCCATAGTATATGCTGTGCTTAATTTGAAGTACATCTGAAAAGAAAAAAATCTCATTCTCAGAACAAGTTTAGTTCAGTGAATGAAAGTGGGCAATTAATTCGGACTTGTGAAGCTCACTTTAGTTTGGTGTCTTTAGTTTGGAAAACAGGCTGGGTTTATGTCTAAGTGGGTAGCATAAATTAAAAGGCTCCTTTTGAAAACTTGTGTCTTCAAAAGCCCTGCCAGCCAACCTCAGCTGGAATGCACTGTTGTGGAAGGCCAGTCTTGTATCCGCCTTTGAATTTTGTTCTTTTATGTCCCTTTGCAGAAGTGCTTTTGGATCCATGCCGGACTTGGTGTCCATCCTCTACTTGCCAGGCAGTTTGCCAGCTCCAGGAATCAAGCCCACAGGACCCCCAGCTGGTCCAGTGCAAAGTGTGCGACATTGAGTTCTGCTCTGCTTGCAAATCTAATTGGCATCCAGGTCAAGGCTGTCAAGAGAACATGCCAATCTCTTTTCTTCCAGGAGAAACAAGGTAAAGTATTGCAAAAGATCAAGTATTTAGAAACTAAACACTCAATTATTGAACAAATCGGATTATGAATAGTAAAGAGGCATTTTCCTGATGTTTTGTTCTAAAGCTGTTTCCTTTTCTTAGTCGTTCATGTTCTTTTAATGCCATATTCCAAAACTTGAATAGCTCTTGGCAGCCTTGTTCTTTGCCACCATTCCCAGCAAAGCACAAAGGAGCTGCTTGGGCCTTTGGCCTTTTGCCCCAGTGGGAAAATATGACATCCAGGCAGCTCATGAGCTTCCTTGAAAGAAGATCTTGTTACTGCTGCTCTCCTGGACAATGCGTGGGTCAGTAACATCATGCTAGACGGTGATTTTTAGGATGCCCTGTCAATCATCGTAACTGCTGCTCGTTTGGCCCATGATCTTAAGTTTTGTTTCAAGCAGTTTCCCATGGCATACTGCAACCACTGAATAAGAAAGGCTGTTGTGCATGTGTTCCACTTCATGTTTGGGCTTTTTCAAAGATTTTATCACATGTCATGGCATCAATAAAGCCCTGCCCAGCCTTGGACTTAGTTACTCCTAACTTGTCTTCTTTCAAGCTTTACTGTAACAGATGACTAGCTAGGATGCTGTCATGACAAGTTCCTGATCAAATATACTAACTTTTGCACATGCTTTTGTGTGTGTTTGACAAGAACTGAAGCTCACTAAATTTCATGGCAAGGTAAAAAATGTCATCTATTTTTGCTTAGTCTTTTTGTTGCTCTTAGTTAATTATTTCACGCTTTATTTTTCACTCCACTGAGTAAAAGTTGATTTTTTTCATTATTTTGGAGCATAATGGGCCTGTAGCAACTTGTGCTACAATGCATTTGGAGTTTCATATGCATTTTATGGATGCAAAGCAGTTTTCTATAATACAGTTGCTCCTAGTGTAAGTAATTAGTGTATGTTCTTTTATCCTGCTGTTGGGCAAACCAATCAATCAAGTGTCAGTCCTGTTTTCCAGCAAACTGTTGATTCCCCATCAGTTATTCTTGTATCTCCACTGGCGGTTGCTGCAGGAATTGTCATTTCTTAAGGTACATTTTAGTTATTAGTGTGCATAAAACCTGCGTACAGTAGAAAGCTCCCCAAGGGAAATAAATGTTCTTCCAGTGTTTCAACATTGCTGTGTGTTCTACTCACTATAAGAGGGGACACCTGTGGTACCCAATCCAAAGGAATATGGTCTGGTCTTATTGTGCAATCAAGGGATTGTTCCCTTTTCTGAGAAAGAAGGGAGAAAAAAGGAAAATGACCTAGAGGCACAAAACATTTAGATGTGACCTAGCTGCTCATCTGCTACATTCCAGGAGAAATATCTATTAGTATCACTAGATAACAAAAACAGTTGGAAAATATGTGGTAAAGAAAATATCCTAACATTTATGTAGACATTGTAGTCGTTAAACATCTTTTCCAGAGATATGTTTCAAAAATAGTGTATAGCCAAAATATCTGAATAATAAAATTCAGTTTAATACTTGAATCTCTAGTAAATTCTCTCTTTTTTTTTTTTTTTTAACAAAAAAACAGGCTTACTTTTGTAGCACAGTTCTTAGATGGTCTTCTCTAAACTGACATGGCCACATATCTTACTGATTTCTCACTCTCTCCCACAGTTCAGTTTTTAAAATGGAAGATGACAACGCTCCAATCAAACGCTGTCCAAAGTGTAAAGTTTACATTGAAAGAGATGAAGGCTGTGCCCAAATGATGTGTAAGAATTGCAAACATGCCTTTTGCTGGTACTGTCTGGAATCTCTTGATGTGAGTATATGCCATGCACTCTGGCTCTCAGAAGCCTAGAAGTTCATTGCTTTGGCATGTGGCTGTCTCTTTAGTGAATTAAATAATAGCTTACTAGCTTTTGGCCACAACCCACCAGAACTGTTGCTGGAAATTTGATGGAATTTATATGCTCTGTTTTACTTGTCTGACCTGTGTGACTTTAGCATTTGCTCTGTGTGTGTGTCAGTAAATAATTATTAAAAAGTAAAATTTTATGAGAATAATCTGTTTACAATCTATATATGGCAACTAACATGGAGGAGGGGCGTTGCTTTTTCTTCAGTACTTATTTTTCAGTGGTGCCCTTCTTGAAGGAGATACAGGGATGAATGTAGCAATGCTATTAGTCTGAGGAAGTTTTAACAGATAAACTAGATTTGGTGTGTCAGTAACAGTCAGATTTGTTTACCATTCATTGTATTCTGTGAGACTAAGAAATAGATCTGACACAGGAAAAAGAACACAATACTCTCCCAACACGAGGAATTTATCGTCTATAAGCTGTTGCTGTCATTTGTTTATATTTTTTTAAATCAGCCTGTTATCATGCCCAAGGATCAGAGTATATACAACATCTGTTTCCATGTTATCAGTTTTACTTTACAGCATTGTTAACAATAGCAAAGGAAGTTAGGTTCCCGAAAGCTACTCTGACGACTCAAATCCTGTGGTTGTCCCATTTGAATACCTTAATAACAGTCCTCAAGTCACAGGCTTCTCACATGCTCAGACAAAAAGCAGCATTCCCTTGGTACTAAGCCTGCTGTCTTGGCTGGTTTGTGTGAGGATGACAGGACTGATAGGGACATAATATCTCAAAAGTCTGTATTGTCTTTCTTCTATTCTTTAACTAGTGAAAGGAATCAACTTTGGGAATTTTGCAGTACAAGTATTCATTTTCCTTTGTTCTTTCTCTGTGAATGTAAAATATATGCAATAGTCAGCTTATCTTCTTGGATATTCTTGCTAAACTCCATGCTAACATTTAAATATGCAGCTTGAGAGCCTATATATCTATAACTGTAAAAAAAGTGCTTTGGAAAGGTTAGACCTGGCCATATCCGCCTGCTATTATCTTCCTATTCAATTCCTAGTTTTAGGTTCTTAGGATATGGTATTTTGTAACTTGACGAATTTCTGTTTATTGCCTACCTTCTCATTTAATATTTTGTAGGATGATTTTCTCCTTATACATTATGACAAGGGACCTTGTCGAAACAAGCTGGGTCACTCCAGGGCATCTGTTATCTGGCACAGGACACAGGTAAAGCTCAGATCTTTAAAAGCTCTGTATAGGTCTACTGCTGTCATAGTGTCTTTGTTTGTTTTACTCATTTTACACCTTAGGGTGAAGTTCTGTGCTAAATGGTAACTGATTTTCATAGCAGATTTAAAGAGGGCAGTAGCTTGGAGAGGAACAATTAGTTCTTGAAGAGAGGACGCTCCTTGACAAAAAGCCACTGAGAACGTGGAAAGGTACATTTGCAGAGCCACTTTAGTGCCAGCCCTGATATGTTCTTACTGAACCTGGAGGACAAACTAGGTTGCCACCATCCATATTGTTAACATGAAAGCTCATCTTGCGAGGGATCTTTAGGTTCGGATCCAGAACTAGAAAGGAATTAGCCTGAATACAGTCCATATCTTGCTATGGACTCCATTTGACTCATTCGTGTAGGTTGAATAGAAAGTAACCCTGAAAGCTTATCAGTAGTTTCAAATACAGATTAAAATTGACAGTTGCAAAGAGTGTGGGAATAGCTCTTGTAGTCTAGATTCAGTGTGGCTGGACTGAGCAGGAATGCAGTATAAATGCTAATGTGTGATTTGCTCCAATCTACTGCCTTTACAGTCACTTCAGAGATACAGTGTATCTGAGTCATCTCTTCCTAAACTGTGTGCCTGTAAAAAGCTACCGTAACTTGAGATGAAGTACTTTTCTTGAAGTACGGATTTCTTTTCATTTGAGCATAAACCCCAAGTCTATAGAATAACCCTCAAGTCTGGACAAACAGCTAAACTGAAACAAAAAGGTCTCACCCCTCTCCTTTCACATGCACCACTGAGTGACTGAGCTATGGACTGGGTTTTGCTTGGCTTAGCCATTGGTATCTTAGGAAGTGTATGGGTACATTAAGCTTACTTGATACACCTGTAATATGAAGCAATTAATCTGATAGTTGGAATCTGTTCTAAGCCACAGCGGTTTGTGCAAATATGTTTAATACACGGTATGTTTGATCAAGTCATTGTTGAGAAAGGAAGTGATCATTCTCTAGCAGTCAGGATATAATTCTGCTGAACCCACTAAAGCCAAATCAACACTGCAATTGTTTCCTTATGTTAAGTTTCTTTGACTAAGTTGTTTATTCTTAGATTTACCCAAAGTAAATTGAGGTCAGCCTTTGATTTGTTGTTTGTGGGTTTAAAAAAATATTGGTTTTGGCCAGAGGAAATGACTTGATGCTGAATAAGGCAGCAATGTCTTCAGAAGGCGAACAACCAAGTAGAAAATAAATAAGTAATACTCAGCAGTCAGTTTTATTTAAAAATAAACAAATGAAAACCACACACGCACACCCCAAAAATCCCCTACAAAACCCCAACCAAACAAAAAGAAAACCAATACAACAAACAAAAATGAAACTTGATGATTTTTTTTGATGGCATATTGAGGCTGAAAGGAAGGTGTAAATAGATATTTAATTACCAGTAGTCAGTCTGGTCCATTGAATTGCTCACTTCTAGCTTGGCTCTGTCTGACCACTGCACTCAGCCTGCACTGCAAAGAGCTAGACAGAGACATGCTGACTCCAAAAAGCAACACAGCAATAGTTGCAGCTCCTGTTTTTTTAAAGATGAGAATTTAGCTTTGGTTTATATCTGTGAGAAATAATGCGAAGATTAGTAAATGGAAGTTGCAGCCAATTGTCAGCGCCACCAAAAAAAAAAAAAAAGAGTTATGAAACGTGCCCACCTCTGAAGCTGAAAAAGAAATTGCTCTTGGGAAGAATTAAAATTGTTAGGGCAATGAGGTTCGAGCTGCATATCCCTGGACAGCCAGAATCCAGGAGTGCCGGAGCCAGGGATGGTGAGCGCTGTCCCACAGCGCCATCTCCTGCAGGCACCTGGCCCTCTCACCCTGCCAGAATTCCCGGAGTGGAGTGATGGCAAAACGATGTGCAAGGTAATCAAAATGCGAAATTGCCCGTGGCCAGCAAAAGTGGTAGTGGATTGTCCCATCTATACCATGGCCAATTAAATATTTGCCAGCTAATTGGAGTGCCATATCTAGCGCTGACTTAGAAGAATTCTTAATGAATGCTGCACTCTTAATTTCATTTTGCCTTCTGTTGTGAGGTTTTGCTATGAAATTAGCATTTCACTCCTGCCTTCATTATTCAAAATTATTCGCAGGCACTCTTATGTGAATAAATCTAAATTATTTTCTCAAATAATTTGTGGGCATATTGTTGCAGCATCACTCTTACAGCTGCCTATGGCAAATGGGGAACTTTCTCAGGCAATGAACCTCAACTTGAATGTTTTTCTAAATAATTTTCCAAATTTCAACTTTGTAGGAGTTATTAGTTTGGCACACTGACAGGATGGGTAAGTCTGTGGTCCTCTTCCCATGCTGGAAGAGGGCAACTAATAAATGTCAATGAAAAAATGCTTTTAGAAAGAGTTAGGTCTTGTCCCCTGAAGCAGCAGAATGAGCTTAGGTCTGACTGCAGAAAGCCATTGCATGTGCAAAGTCCTCCTATAATCTGTAGTGTTTTTAATCTGTGACTGAAATTCCTAAGCTTTTGAGAGGTGATTTGCTTCATTAGTTGTTTGAGGTATAGGAAAACTCAAAAAGGCAAATAGCCATCTGCATCATTTTATGATGGAACTGAGTTGTGTGTAGTGGTTCTGGCTGGAGCCATGAAACATGAACATTCTGCACTCCCTCGCATTTACTGGCCGCGGGAGCTGACTGCAGTGTACACCAGGAGCGAGTCCTGGCTCTGGTAAGGTCAATGGCGTTTGCTGAGGTCTTTTTGACAGACACTGATGATACACTGGTGTCAGCAGGCACAGAATCTGGGCAATGCTATTCCTGATGCAATGTTATCCCTTTTTCTTGCAGGTGGTAGGAATTTTTGCAGGATTTGGTCTTCTACTTTTGGTGGCCTCCCCTTTCCTTCTGCTTGCTACACCATTTGTTCTGTGCTGCAAGTGCAAATGTAATAAAGGAGATGATGACCCTCTACCTACCTAGACTGGGAAAAGATTGGACTCATCACGACATGTGTTTTTATTTTATTGTGCTGTTATGTTTCTCTCTGCACTTACATTGCTGTAGCCTTACTTGCCCCATTCTGCTTTTCATTGACACACAGTCTTGGTTCCAGGAACTGTTGTTACCACTGTTATATAGATCACTTGATAATAGACAAGGAGGGTAACAGAAGGCAAGTGTGGTGCTAAAGGGAGACCACGGACCTGGGTGGTATCACCTGAAATCAAGAGGTGATACTGCTAAAAATAATGCAAAAAGTTGGTGCTGCCCTGCTAGTGGACTGGGAACTGTACTGAACAACATCAGCAAAACAAGCTGAAAAAGCAGACAAATATAAACTTCTGCATATCTGTTCGCTTCCAGATTTGGTGTCTTATTCCTGTATATATTTAAGTTGCCTATCATTTATATCAGATAGTCAACTTAGTGTGACTTTATTATGTTTATTACACATTGTTTTTGTTCAAACCATCACAATGTCCTTTCTAGTACCTATTCTTCCAAGTATAATAAAATTAGTAAGGTGCATATAGGCCATCCTATGCCTTTCTTGAAATTTGGGGAGGGTTAGAGGGACAAAGTTCATCCTGCTGCCTTCCACAAATTTTGTCAAGTCTTATAAGAAATTCATTTGATTAAAAGCTACATTTTAAAATTAATTGATGAGGCTGTAAGGTTGAGTAGTGACACAAACCTGCTATCTAATCAAGGTTCTTTTAAAAATTCATTGATGGTATTGATTACCACTGGACCACTAGTGTTTTTCTGAATTGTTATTTTTTGCTGTTGTTTAGGGTTCTGCTACACTTATAGGGCTACATAACTTCTAATCCAGGTATCTTAATCTTTTTATAGATACATAGATATATATATATATATATATAATCCTATTTAAACCAAATGTGTAAATAGCTGTGCTATTGAAATATTTTGGAAGTTCAGGATATATTGCTTCTGTCTTTAGGGCAATTATTTAAAAATACAGGACTAACTTTAATATTTAGTAGACTCTTGGGTTATCAATGAATCTTCCCTTTTAAATATAAAAATACATCATGGTTATCCCTGTATAATTATCCCTGTAATACTAAAATGCCTGGGATATATGTGGAAGTTCTACTTTACATTTAAACTACTTAGCCCATTTCAGAGTTAATATTGTATATGTGGTGTATTGTGCTAATAACAATACTGTAACAAAATAAGGTTTTATTTGAAAAATAATCACTTGATAGTTTTGCAGTATTCAGTGCTGTGTTTTCAGGGTAGTAAAGTGTGCTAGCCAACATGCTGCCTCATTGTGGTTTCTCTTTAGAAATATTTTATTGAAAACCATTTTGCTTTGATTTTAAAGCCTACAAGAATTTGACTGATAACTTCTTGCCATGAAATATGAAGCACCTGAAACAATGTGTATATCTGTAGTACTGAAGGAAAACATTCTTTCAACTGGCTTGTGGACTTAAGTCTGACTGCATTTTTGTCATCATCATTCTGTGCATCAGCAATGTACTGAGGTGAATGGATATCTTGAAGCCAGAATAACTTTACACTGAAAATGTCTTAAGACCCTTAAATGCAACTACTTCTGTCTGCTGTCACAGACTGGGAATGTGTTTTCATAGCTCAAGCATAAAAAATTACTCTTTAGCTTTTGTTTTACAGTCTATCTGTTAATAAAAATACTGTAGGGCGCAGTTTTGAAAAGGGCCACTGTCTTTTTATAAAACTATTCTCCTCCCCCATCTTCTAGGTTTAATGCTATTTTAATTCAAACTGTGTCTAACCACAGATTTTACCTCTAGGAGCTGGAGGTTATCGTAGTTCACTTATTTGGCTTGATTTTAATGAGTTCAGCCACTAAAATGTGAAGAAAAAGGATAGCTGGTTTCCAGCAAATATGAACTCCTTGTGATATCTTCAGATTGTTTATGGCAATGCACAGTTAAGATCTTTTGTTACCTGAGTATTTTTAGTAGTCTAGAATTTGTTATTAAAAATTGCTTTGTTCTTAAAAAATATCTGTAGTGAAGACTGGGTAGTGGATTTGATCACTGTTTGCCAACCCCTAAGCGTGTCTGAAGCACTGCTGAGTTCAGCAGGCAGTGAAGTGCTTATCTCCCTCTGGCTCTGACATCAGCTCAGTCCATCTCCCAGAGGTATCCCAAGCCAAGCACCTGGGTTGTCCTGAGTCATAGCTTCACTGTGCAGAAAACCTTCTGTGAAGGATTCTGAGAAGGACAGCTTCCAGCAGGTAAGCTTGTGGCCTTTCCTGCATGGCCCTGTAATTCTGTTTAACTGGAGAAGAGGAAAAACCTGGACAACAGGATGTAAAGACTTCATGGGTTATTAATTTTCTAATTGGCGGCACTAAGAGATTCTGCTGTATTGTGGCTGTGACTCTGATGACCACATATGTGTACTACTGGGGTCATAGTAAACAGTAGAGGTTCAGTGCCCTGTGAACAGTATTAGAGTGTCCTGGTATGATACGGTTTCTTTTCTCTATGCCTTTCTTAGCCTTTATGTGTCAATACAGCAAAACTTGTTTCCCAGAGTATTGTGTGGCCAGTTAATAGTCAATGTCAAAATTAATGCATTTCCAAATTTAAAACAAAAAGGAAAGAAAAATGTCCTTTCCAAATACAGATATTTTTTAAATAATAATTTATAATTGATGCTTACAGGTAACATTATATATAATGGGAAAACTATGTTAGTGTATCTCTGATCTCAACACACTTGAATTGCTACTGGAGGTTTTTATGACGCAGCTCTTATTTCACATCCTGGCTGTTGGGATAGACTATATGCCTACATATATTTAACAAATACCTAGTCTTTTCAGGTTTGCTAAATGTCATTCCATCTGTATGGGATTTTTTTGTTTGTTGTCATTATTTTATTTTTTGTAATGCTGATTATTTGGTTTCAAAGTAGCAACTTTTGGTGGTAAGGTATTATATACAAAGTGTTTTAATGTTACAGCTTATGTTGATACTGTGACATTAAATACCCTGAAATTGAATTGTAAATACATTATTTTAAACTCTGACATTTAAATGCCCTGCCATGGAAAAGTTAATGTTTGTTTCTGCTGCTTTTCAAATGAAATTACAACAGCTATGGCTTTTTAGATTTTTCACCAGAAAAATAGGTATCACAAGATGATTTCTGTTGCATTTTTATGGTTATGCTATCATTTAGGGTTTTGCATTCACACAGAATCACAGAATATTCTGAGGTGGAAGGGACTCACAACAATCATCGAGTCCAACTCTTAAGCGAATGACCCATTCTTAAATACTGTTTTTAATGGAGTTTGTGACAGTACTTCATTTGCATGTTCTGGATGAAGTGGTGTCATGTCTAGCGAGTGTTGAGTCCCAACTCCAGAGGCTGTGGTTGTCCCTAGGCTTGCCATTCATTAGTTGGGCTGAAGTCAGTCCTGAGAGAGAGACAGCAGGAGCACAGCCCACATTAACTTCAATGATGATAGTTTTGGGTTTTCCCCCACATTGGACAAGTCACTTAGCTCCTTTTATCTCAATTTAACCGTCCTTTTAATGAATGAACCAATGTTTGCCTACTTCATAAGAGGGCTGTGAGGGCAAATTAATTGGGTTTGAAGCTCTTCAAGAGTTTGTGATGAACGTTATATATAAAAGCTTACTATTGTTTTATGTTATTATTTCAGTTTTATTCATGTTGGCAGTCATCCTGAAGTCTCCTCCTACTGACTTTAGCATGTCAAGAATTTGGGATACTTTCCCTCACATACCAAATAGCATGATCTTTCCTCAAATACTCTGGTTTATGAATTAGGCAAAATCCCAAATAACAGCTGACTGGATCAAATCTCAGCTTACATTTGATCTCCTGACGAAAGTAGTAAAAAGCCCTCATTTGTGGAGCTGACGGGATAAAACATTCATAGGTCAGAAAAGTATGAAGTGCTTTTTTTTTTTTTTTAAATATTATGGCCAGGAAGATAAAAATTAAGTTCTGTGCATTTCATCTGTAGACCTTTTGCTGTATAAGAATAAATGTATTTAATGCAGGCCATTATCCCAGTGAGGTGCAGCATGCATAAAGCTTTGTGCAGGTTTGCTTTTTCAAAAACCAAAGTTTGTACATCTCAGATACATAATCTGAAAGCCTGAGGAAAACAAGTAGAATACGGTTGTTAATAAGTGATATTAAGGACATAAAAAAAGCCTGTATCAGCGCTTAATTGCTAATGCACTTATACTAAGTAAGGCATGCTGTTTGTGTTTAGAGCCCTGTGGTCTTCATTATTGCTTTGATTTGTGTATCTCTTATAAGAATTTCAGGAACATTAGGTACAGGTACGTGGTCCATAACTGAACCTTTCTTGATCATTTTATCATGATGTATTTTAAACTTGTATAGGGATAAGCATGAAGGAGTCATGCATATGTATAAATAATGTATTTGACGAGTGTAAAAATAGTTCTGTTGATGTATTTGAAATGTAAGTACATTTTGTGCCACTAACACTGTGATGTATAAAAGAGCTGTTGAATGCCTTTTAATGTGGTGTTTTGTACTTTGAATCATACTGAAGAGTTTAATTTGTAATTTCAATAGATATTTTAAATGAGTGTGTCTCCTGTGATTCTTCATAGTGACTTTTCAGCTCTGTACGTCTGCTAAAGAAAAGTACTTTTATAGGATTCTCTGGGCTTCTCTGCCTCTCAGTGTTTCAGAGCAAACACAGCCTGGAGACCTCCTGCGGCACTTCTGGGCATAACTGTGATTTCTGACTCACTGTCTTCCAGTTTAGCTAAAAGAGGGAATCTGCGTATCTCTAGAGCTAATTTTACCCACAGCTGGGTCTTTGGTCCAGCTCCTGTTGCAGTCCACTGATGGACGCTCTAGGCAGGTGAATGTGCTACCCCAAGGATCACTCTGAGGAGTGTGTATATTCTTGCACCACAGGTTTAGATCTGGTAGAGGTGGCTGTGAAGAGCTTGTATTCCCCTCAGTTTGGTCATGCAGAAGTGAAACTGTTAAAGGCAAAGCTCAATCTTCTGAACAACAGAACATAGTTAACTCTGACAGTGGTAATGGGCTCCAGTGTTCTTGACTCCACCAACAGGCACTTTGTATTTTGCCTAAATTGCAATTGAGGATGCAGACTTTCCTTCAGTCCCCAGTTTCTTTCTCGCTTTTTGCCTTTGTTTTTCTCACAATTTGTCTCCCCATGAAAAAGCACAAGCACAATTTCTTCAAGAAAATGCAGTGCATAAATAATATGCATCTACATGCTTTATACTTGACAATTTTAGAGAAATCAGGGTCACGTAATAGCTGCTACTCGGTCATTCCTTCTTTCATTTTCATGGAGCATAATGATCTTTCTCCATAAGGGTAAGATCAATTTAGATATTTTGTTCAATTAATTGGGCAGAAAATAGTCTATAAAAGCTACGAGGGGTTTTGATGTATTCTAGGAGCAGGTATTGGTAACAAAGTGATCTTTCTGCTTACTTCTGTGACTCCACCAATCTGTTGCTTCCAATTAGACCATGTTTTGCATTGTAGTTTTCTCTTAAACAGTAGGATTATTTCTTAGTCACATGCAGTAATCATATAGTTTAGTAACATTTAGCTCCTGGGCACTTTCTCAGTCTCTCTGCCAGGTTCAACTTATCTTGGTGTAGAAAGCTTTTCTCACCCATGCCTTCAACTATGTGACTGGGTTTCTGCACAACTGTTTGTCGTCCAAAAATCAAGCAGTGCAGAAACTCTTAAGTAACAGTCGATTGTCTAAAATTAGAGCATTTAAGTTGAATTCTTAAGTGGCAAGCTTATAGCCCATGTATGTTCTAGTAAATAGTGTCCAGGATCATTCAGTTGCTGGATGTGACTCACATCCATAGTAATAAGTTCTGCTAGGAGGGGCCCAAGGCCCAGAATAACTCCTGAAGTGTACCTGGGTGTTGAATGGGAGAGTTGAGGTCAAAATCATGGCAGGAACTGTCCCGTAAAATCAGAAAGATTTAAGCAATAGAATTGCACAGCGCAAAAACTTTGTGATAGTTCTAGCTTTCTGCTAGTCATAGTGGTACTAATGGAGATGTGACTGTAGAAATTGTATTGTGTCAGGTCATCATGGCTAGGCTTCACGAACAAAGATTTGGGAGGAGCTCTACCCACATTTGTATTGTGTACTCACGCATGTATGGGGTAGTGCTAGGAACTGACACTATCAACCTACAAGCACAATGCATCCACATCTACAAAGCACCTTTCTTCTTCTTTTTTTTTTTAATTGGAGATCAACTAGGAAGTTTCTGATAAGAGATTTTTTGTGCTGTTTTTTGCTAACTTACCTGTTAGCCCTGCATCTATACCAAGAGTTATTTTATGCAGGATATAGTGGAACCGATGAAAACTTTTGTTGATTTTGATAATTATAGGTAAGGCTGTTTTATACAAGGAAACCTTTGCTATCCAGATTCTGCACTCTGGAAATTACGATTCAGCCTAGTATCTGACACCATTTGAGTATGAGATTTGTCTTGGCATTCATGTGTCTGGCTTTAACTTATGGTAGTCAGTGCAAAGACACATCTCCTGAGAGATTTCGCTTTGTGTCCTGTGGTTCTTACTAAAGTAGTTGTATAAACAAACTTTAGCCTCTCAAGCTGCTACTTAGGTGTGGGTTTTTCCCCACACACTTTGGCAGAGGAAGTCTAGACAACTGTCTTTGTCCAGGCATATAACTTTTACATGGCTAAAACTGAGGGAAACAGTCACAGAGTGCCTTATGGCAAGGACTTCTTTCAGATACCAGGGCAGAACTTGGTGGTGCAAATTAGAACCAGGTTACTCTGCTCCCATACGGTGTTTCCAGATGAGAATATATGTGTAGTGACTATAACTTAACACATGTGGCACATATACAAAATGTTTAGAAGCTGTATATCATGCAAACCAACTCAGACATGCAAGCAATGGAAGTGCACTTAAAAGACTGTAGAGTCCAGTTCTTTTGTGATGTGTGACAGGAGAGAACATTGTCAAGTTGTATGTGATAACTGGGAATTTAGTCCAGTATTCCTTGTTCTTTTGGTTTTTAAAGCCAAAAATGAAATTAACACTATAATCAGTATATAAACGCTAAACTTGAACCTAGATCCCAATGAAGAGAGCTCCTGGGAATAAATTCTAGGTGTCCTCACTCAGTGCAATTTTCTAAAATCTGGATCTACGTATGTGTCTAGCTGATATGTACTTTATGTGCAATATCTCCTTAAATGTTAAATGTGGCTTCTAGTCAGTGTACTTATTATATAATGATTACAGGAAGAAGAAATTCTCTGTGTAATTTTTTAGAGCAAGAAATCTGATCCTGGTGCAATGCAGATTGCCCATAATAAATAGACTCGTGAAGGTTCTGCGATATGTTTTTGTAGCTTACGTGGAAGAAAGTAAGCTTTCTTCCAAGTATTAGGAATAGAATTAAATCACTTCCTTCTTCCAAACACTGCCTTTTTTCACCAAGTAACTGGAAAAGTAAAGCCAACTGCCTGTAGGCTTGGGTGAGGCAGACTCCATCCATCTTTCCTGTGAATTGGATGCTGAGAGCTCATTAAAACAGATTAGCCTTTCCATTATGTTTTAGTGAGTTTGGATTTTCGTTTTAGGTGAGCAGAGAGCTCATCTTGCTGTGTAAGAGAGCACCTGCGGCAGAACTGTGTTTTTTCTGACAGGATTTTCTCTGCCAGTGAGTTTCTTCAATTGCCATAATCTTTTTTGTGTGACACAATATGAGACTGATTTCACCGTGGACTGCAAGAGAAAAAAGTTATATATCATTAATAATTTAGAAGGTTCTGTAGGCCTGACCTGCTTATACTAGTCTAAATTAAAGATGCAGGCTCAGCCATTCCTGAGATCTCACTGCCGTGTGTTATTCTTAAGAACAATTACAAACAATTTTTCCTCTATGCTCCCTCAAGATGGTGTTTTGGTGGGTGGAAGAAATGCTCGGGCTGCCTCAAAATCCTGAGGTCTTACTGTATTTTGAGAACACCACTGTCATTTTTTGGGATTAGCCATGGGAGAAATGCATGAGCTTGTGTAAAATTGCATTTAAAACTGCCTCAGCAGATGAGCAGAGTGCAGTGTTTCTTTGTTTTCATGCCTTAGTAATTATTAGTGGACTCATTTTGTTGAAGTCTCATGTAGTGAGGGGTACAGGTGGAGTGAGGGATTCCTGAGTCGGAATAGGGATAAACTTTTCCCACTGCCTTAGCATAGCCCCCCGGAAGGGTGTTTCAGGCAGCCATGTGAGCGGTGCTGCCATGAGCCAGCAGGGAGCAGCCGCCGATCACCGCGGCTCAGCACGGGTAGGCTTCCCAGAGAAATCCCTGTGAACCAGATTTCTACCTCGAGCTTGTAAAGTCTGTGTTTCAAAGCCTCCACAGAGCTAATTGTAAAGATACAGCTAAAAATAACAATGTTATGATGGGCCTGCACACTCTGCTGGGGCTGTTCTAGTCTCTGATATTAACATGTTATTGCTCCTGTTCTCTGAGAGTGTATAAACCTTTCCTGAAAAGGAAAAGCTGAAGTGTTTGAACTTTCAAAAGCTGATCTACAAATGTAAATGAGAGGTGCATACCATAGGTCTCTTTCAAAATGCCACGTTCAAAGAGCACTGACTAATCACACTGGGAGAAGGGGGAACACTAAAAATCAGTTACAAACAGTAACTATTGACTAAACATTACATCTTCTCTATGTTTTATAATTGACGGATGTTGTAGCTGAGCCAAATTATTCTCCTCTCCCTTTCTACCCATGCCTGCTGTCTTATCTGTGTTCCTTAATACAGATGTTCAGCAGAAACAATAACTAACCATCAATTCAGCAGTCAACATGTTTGGCAGGGGAGACAAGCTGCAACGGAGGGTTGCTGTGAGTTCTTCTGCCTTTACCTCACTCTATTTATATATGTTCCAAAATTAATGTGTCTTCCTTCCCCTGCCCAGCCCCCAAATATATCTGAGTAAAGCAAAGTGAAAAGTTGGTTTCTTATATTTTTTGTGGCCTAGAGGATCCTGCCAACACTAACACAAGCTTGAACTTTAAAAAAAAAAAAATATATATAATGCGTGGTCCTGGCTGCCACCATCTCCCTGATAAACTCCCAGGAAACTTCTAGTTCATGACAATTACAACCTGTTAGGGATGTGTTTGGAGCATGTTTTGTGAGCTGGATCAATTTTTCCTTTTAAGAACCTTGAAATTTTCTTACATGAAATGATGCAATTAGAGGATTGGAGTAGCACAGTGTATTTTACCAGACCATTAACACTTTACTCCCACCATATCCTTTCATTTTGTTCAGCAGATTTTCCCAGCCTTCAACATCGATCAGGGGCTACAGACTGAGAACCTTCACAGTTCAGGATCTTCCAGCCTTTCAGTGTTCCTTGCAGCATTTCCTGGCTTCCCAGCAGCAGGGTAGTGTTTCTAAGTGCAGAGTATTGAAGAATGGCCCTTGGAAGATGCAAATCTAGAGGGGCCATCTCACTGCTTCCCACAATTTGAAGCAGAAAGCAGAGAGATCCAGAGCAGCAGAAGGCA